AGCGATCCCCACTGAAAAGTAAAAAGTCTTAGACATCTACAAAGGTCTGCCCCCACAGATTATTCATAAGGAAATTGTTTGCTGGCCTCCTACAAACAAGAATATGCAGACTGAAACTTTGGGTCTGTAGGCTAAATCTAGCTCCTAAAACTAAAGTCTGTTTGGATAGGCCAAACTTACCTAGCCAGGTGCAGAACAGAGACAAGTTGAGATCTATCATTCTTCCACCCACCAGAGATATCTGTATAATTCTTTTTTTCCTTTATTCCCTTTTGATCTTCAAATATTACCTTATCTTATATCAAATGTAGATTTCCTGGGCTCCATAAGAATGTTACCGTTTGTTTCACTAACCATCCCCATCTCTCTTTTTCTCTCTGTATGCCCACTCCCCTCTAAATACTGAGTTCCCAAATCCCACTTCAGAAAAAACAGCCACAGATGTGTCCCTGGCTTGTGTTTTTCTGGCACATGTCCTCAAACTTTGGCTTAATAAACCTCTGTTGATTTAGATTTTTGCCTCAGCCACTTATGTTGGGTTGACAGCTCTCATTCCCAGGAACATCTTGAACAATTACCTCTAGTCAATTCTCTTCAGGCCAAACTATTTTGATTACTGCTCTGGAATTGTTTGGGATTATGCTAACAATACCCACCCTGACGACGCAGGTTAAGAGCCGTCAGTTGACTTATGATACTCCAGATACTCCACAATTCTATTACCACTACCAAAATAAAGAAGGCAAGACTTTACAAGTAGGTTGGTGTCCTTCTCACCACTTGTATTTCTCACTTCACTTAGGAAAGGACTATCTTTTGGGCCCTTCTCAATTCACTAGTGAAAGAAATACCATCTGGGTTTTTCTGGGGAACATAATTAACTTAGATGCACAAATAATTCATGCTAAATCTGTTAGGTGGAAAGCAAAGTACCTCCCATCCTCCTGGAGACAAAGGCAGGAGGCCCCAACAATTGCCACACCTGAGAGAGGAGGGAACACCCTACCAATCTGCCAGTCTGAATTTTCACCAACTGCAAAAGATTGCAGAGGATTCCTTAGCATGCCATGCTGGCCAAAAAGCACAGGTACAATAGTATCATAAAGGTGACTAGAGCAACCTAAGGCTAATTATCATGTCATTAGCTTAAATCTACACTGCAGTTCACCCTCACCCTGATGGGTTTTCAGAGTGACTCATAGGATATTTGCATGTATAATAATATTCAGGTTATATAACTCCCAACTGTCTATCAAACTGTTTTGATGGTGATATGTAAACCACAAGAAGGGCCCAGCCTAGGCAATATAAAACAGAACCCCAGATCATAATTGGGGCCCTCCTGTTATGACAGGGGGTCCGTTCAGCATCTGTAGCAAACATATCTTGCTTTTGCTCTGTTAACCTATTTTGTCCTTCCTCTATAAACCTCATTTCATGCTTGCCTTGCTTTTGTTGTGTCTGACCATTCTTCAGCCAAGAGCACACCAAGAACCAAGAACAAACATCTACAACCCGACAAATCCACTCCAGATAGCTTCTTTTCCTAAAAGCTTTCATTGTTTCCCTGCATTATATGCCAATTATGTTCCAGTATCTCAACTCCCTTTAATGTAGGATAATATCAAATCTAGATTTCAATTATTCATCAAATAAACTACTAGAGCTACTCATTATTGCTCAAACTATAACGCATATTAATAAATTAATCCCATCTAATGTTACTATTTTTTCCTTTCTATAATAATATTCACATTTTTCCCCACATGCATTTCCAGGTTTTGGTTGATATAAATTGACAAAAATCTGGCAGATATTTTGGGTTTTACTCTGTCTCCTTTTAAGTAATGATTCATCTTTGTTCTTCTGAGGATATGCTGGTCATTTTGTCAGGTTTAAGTCTGAAATATCAGTTTTTGGTGCACTCATGACCGAAGAATGATCAGACACGCCAAAGTTAGGCAAGCATGAAAATGAGGTTTATTGAGGAAAGAAAGATAGGTTTATAGGCCAGAGCAAGATTTAGGCTTACAGAGACCATGGTACATATGCCACAGATTACAAATTGGCTTATTGTCACAGCAAAGGGAGAGCAGGAAGGAAGGGGGCAAAAGAGTAATTGGCTATGGTCTGCATCTTATTTTCTAGTGCCTGGATAGGGACCTCCCCAGTGGTTCAGAGGTCACTATGGAACCACTTTGATTAGACAGTTGGGAGTCCCATGACCTGAGTCTCAACTATGCATGCAGGTTGTTCAAGGTCATTTTCTGGACTTGTGGTACCTATGCTGCTTGGCCTGTGTGCTAGAGAGTCCTCTGCATTCTTTTGCAGCTGGTGTGCCAAGTTTTGATTGGCTGATTCATAGGGTATTCCCTCCTCCCCCAGCTATGGAGAATTAGGGTGGGGTAGGACCATGATGGTGACAACAACACCCACTTTCAGGTCCATAGGATACCCCAAATCCCTCACTATCTATCTACCTAACAATTTAATTGTGTGTCAGAAAAACAAGAGAGATGGTACTTGTGGGCCATGAAAACAACCAGTATCTCCTTGAAAGTCCTCAAAGGAGGTTATTAGAATCTTAAAGCAAAGGAATGCTAACATTTTCAGTCAGGAGAAGAGATTTTTCTTCTTAAAAGCAAAGTTAAGGAAGATTGGTGTGAGTGTGTAAGTAACCTTATCTATCAGAATCCATACAAATTCTCTCATTCCATATTCAGAGTTTTTCACATTTTTCTAAATCAACATTCTCACTTTTACTAAAGAACCCCAAAGAGGTTTTGCATTTCATTTGCACTGTAAACCTTTCACTTGCAAAACAAAAATTTGGTATGCTTATTCTTTTTATCAGCCCCATGGCTACAGGAGATAAAATGCTCTTTTAAGTCAGTCATAGAAACTCATAGAATGATATATTTCTTTTATGTAAAAAATAATACCACTTTCTCTCTTTTTCATGCATGCCTTTGTTCTCGCATGCTCTTTTTTCCACATCAATTTTCCAAATGATCTTTATGGATTTCAAGGTAGAATGTATATTTAATACAATGTAGAAGAAAATTGGAAATAAAAGTTATCAGACAAATGACATCAGAATACAATGAGGTGGGGATGGAGATATCATAGTTTAATATATATTTTACTTATATGCAATAACTGATGTGTTATTTAACTCTTTTAACTATCATTGTGGCATAATTTTAATTTTAAAATGGACACTAAAATTTCCAATCTTTGTTGTACGTACCTTATATAATTTTCTCATCTTGAGTGTACTCAGAACCTGTGAATCTGAAGGAATATTATTCTCACAATTATTTCATAGTACATGACAAGGGAGATTTTGCAGATGTAATTAAGGTTATTAATTAGTTGCCCTTGAGTAAATGAAATGGGAGATTATATGGATAGTCCTGACCTACATGAGCCCTTTATGTGTGGGTCTAGAAGTCAGAATGAGAGGAAATAAGATTCAAAGCAACAGAGACATTCTCTTGTTGCCTTAAAGGAATAATTGTCATTTTGTGGAGAGGGCAGAAAATAGTAGGTTATTCTCAATGCTGAGAATGGCTTCCTCTGTCCAAGGGCCAGCAAGAAAGCTGGAATCTCAGTCCTGCAACCCAAAAGATCTGTATTCTAACAACTTAAGACAGTTTCGAAGAAGATCTTAAGCTTCAGATGAGGCATCTTGCTTTTAGACCATGAGCAAAGAACTTAACCATGCCATGCCAATCTCCTGACCAGTGAAAATTGGGAGATAATAAATTTGCATTGTTTTAAGCCACTTAATTTGTAATAAATGGTACATAATGAAAGATAACTAATACAATTAGGTAAAGTATAAGCTGTGATAATAGCAAACAAAATATAAAATACTGCTCATGAACAGGTCCAATGGAGTTTTTTCTTTAGTTCATTCTATAACTGAACTATTGAAAGATTAAAAAAATTTTAGGGAATCCACACTGGCCAACAGCATTGTTTAAAACATAGCAGAGTGACTAACACCAGGATAGTATTACTTAGACTACTTAGTACTTTTATTACTAAAAGGTCTTTAAACAAAGTTAAAAGATATGAAAGTTATTTCTTATCACTATCCTCAATGTGTAAATGGAAGAGACTCTTTCTTTCAGTTTTCTTCTAGCTATTCCCTAACTAGTTTATACCTTTACACCCTTTTCCTATTGTTCTATGTCCAAAATTTATACCTTACCATCTGATAAACATAACTATATTACTACTAAAACACTCAATTACTCATTTAGCACAAAGGACTCTTCTTTCCTTAACTAAATCCTTAAGTCCTTAGTTCTTCTCTTAATTCCTTTCTCTCTCTCCACTATACTCCCTGTCTAGGGTATTGAAATATTAAGATTTTTTTCTTGCTATTTAAAGCCTTCATGTGTCCTTTAACCCATCCTCTCCTGCTTCTTGTGGAAAATAGCTTCATTGATCACCTCCACCTCCTTTTCTTTTATGTTCTTTCCTATGTCAACTGGCTTCCTTACTTCAATGTACATATTTCTACAGTCTCTTTCATTTGTTCACCTCTGCTAAATGGGACTCTGTCTTGCCCCTATATTTTCCTAGATATGCTTTCCAGTTTCTCTCTTGCTCTTCCAGCAGGAAATGACCACTTCATGTCCACTCTATCACATGTTAAACCTCCAGAAGCACTGCAGTTTGATTTATTGCATTAGTTCACTTAAACTATCCTGCTAAGATCACAACTGTTTCCCTAATGAATATTAACAGTTCTTTTCATGGCTAAGATTCTCTGTAGTATTAACAATAATATTCATTCAGCTATGAATAGTAGGCAGTGTATTATTAGGTTGATATAGTAGACCCAGACTTTCTGAGGCTTCATTTCAACAAATGCTTCTGTGATTACCATAACAAAGTTGGGATAGTGGTGTGTGGTGGGGGGGAGAAGTTAAACAATTACTGGCTTTCATTTGGAAATAACATGTCTTTATTATTCATGTTTCACTGACTAAACAAAATCTGTTGATCAAGACTGACTCCAAGAGAACAGGGAGTATAAACCTCTCATGTGCCTAGGAGAAGAGGGAAATTAATATTAGTAAACAGTAGTAATGACTTTGACAAGTTCCAGTGTTATTAGTTAACTCCATATCTTTTAGAAAACTATTTTCTTCATGATAATCGTTTCTGACAATTTATTTTCTATACATTCATAAGTTATTTTCTTTCCACTCATTAGGTTTGTTTATCACCAATATTCCTAGCTCAGATTAATACACTTCACTTCGTATGTTTTCCCTGAGAAACTTTCTCCATTCTACTGGCTTCAACTAACACTTGGTGACTAAAACTCTGTATTTCCAACCCAGCTATCTTTTTCCAGGCCTTATACACATATTATCTACCTGCCAACTGGGAATCTTTACTTTCACCCCCAATTTGGCTGGTGCATGAAATAAAGTTACCTAAAACTTGACTTTATTCTTATTCGAATGACATGATTTCAACATTATAATTTCTTAATCAAGTACAATAGCTTCCTAAATCTCTCTGCTGTTTCCACTCTTATTTCCCTTGAATCCATTTATACCATAGCAGAGAAAGATCTATTTTTAAAATAAAAAAGTCTGACCATGTAGCTGTCAGGGAAAAAAATAATTTCTATAAATGTTTCAGTGTCTCCTTATGTACAAATTTTCAAAATTCTTAACAATTTCTTTAATGACTTGGCCCTTATTGACCTATCCATACTTATTCCTTTTCAATCCTAGCTTTACACTTTATATTTAATTACACAGAGTTGCTTGTCTTGCTTCATTATTACTATGCTATTTCTTGCCATAATTATTTACTTTGTGGTCTTTTCTTCCTAAAATGCTCTAGAACTTTCTTTAAATTTTCTTCATCCTTTAAGAATCAGATCTGGTGCCACTTCTCTGACCAATCCACACTTCCAGTCCTCTCTCTAATGAAATCCTATGAGTTTCTCTAACAGTGAATTTTGTTTCGTAGATATCTATATGACTATACTACTTGCAGAAAGAATCTGTGCTTCATTTTTGATTCTATAATGCTTTATGCAGTTTGTGTTAATGGTATAAATACATGCATTAACAAAGTGAATGTAGTGTAAGCAGAGATTTGTTTTTACAAAATAGACTTAAAGTACCTGAGAAACAAAGTTAGTGATAATCTTTATGTTCCTGATCTTCTTTTAATTATTTTATGAGGTTTTGACTCTTAATCGATAACTAATGAATACATGAAAATCCAACTCTGGATAGAAGACATGAAGGAACTAGCAGTAACTTCTGCTACTAATTTTTCCCAGATAATATGCCACTCTCTTTCTTATTCATTGGTACTAAACTTACTTGTTACCTCACTCCCAAAGGAGAATTTTGAATATCAACTCAGGTGGCTCTTGCTTGCTTATCCTACATATTCAATAAATGACCATGACTTTCTTTATATCTCCTGAAAGATTAAAACTCTTTTACATCTTCTCTATCAATATTGTCAATTGCTATAGTTTGTTTCAAAATTATCATATATCACTGGATTTCTTCAGTATCCATCAATATGTCATCACTGCTTTCAGATTTACCAACTCAAATTAACTCAAATCATCCATATTCTTCCATTGTCTGAAAATATAAACCTGAAGTGAACCAAGATCAGAGAGCAAATAGGCCTCTGGTGATAGCCTGTCCTTAGTCAACAGCTGCCCAGGGAAGGAGTCCCATTTGCCTCAAAACCCTGAGGATTCTGGTCATGAAATATATTCAAACATTAAAATCTAAGTCTCAATTCATTGGCAGAATGAAATTGCAGCTTATCTGATAGGCCTCAGGAAGTAGAGAAAGATAAGATGGAAAATTTGAAACACATGGCAAGGAGAAAACTGCTGAAGGAGACAGATGGACACCTGATTTGTTTTAAGCACTTAGGAAGATGCATTCAGAAATTGGATTTAATGAGAGGAAATTGAGACCAAAATTAGTGACTTAGGTTTAGGAACATTAGCAGGAAAAGAATAGGAGTTTCAAAGGGAAGAAAAGGGACAGATGGAGGATCACGAATGACAAAACAATTGATTAAAGAACATTTCGCTAGGCTGAATGAAGAACTGTGTCTTCATACTGAGAGTGTTCACTGAGTTCCAGGCTGTACTGATAAAAAAGAGTTTCTGAGCATATCCTGCTAAATTGCATGCATGATCTCTAATGATAAAGGAACAGTTTTATAACTGTCCATATGTAAGGATAAGTCACCAGCAAAGGAAAAAAAATTGACTAATATCTTTGTATTATCAGCAGTTACACAGAAAATACCACTTATAAACTACTGAAAGAAATGGATTCAGCACAAGAATTCTAAATTTACTTAAGATTTTCTTTTTTGCATTTCAAGTGCAGAAAAGTATTTGAAGATATGCAGTAATTCAAAAGTGTATTACCTAAGTGTGTCCTACCTGTGAAATAATAAGAACTACTAGTCTCTGTCCCTAGTGCTTTGCACAAACTCCTAAAACCTTTATAATTTTCTGAGTGATGAAGATGCTAGGAAAATCTTTTGTTCTTATGTTTGGTCTCTGCACAAGTTCCTGACACAGAGCTCCCACATTCCTTGGAATTCCTAGCGTGATAAGAGCGTCTTTTGGTTGAATGAAGTGACTTTTTGTAGGCTCCTGAATGGGGACTGGCCACCAAAAGGACTGCACCGTAATTATAAGCTTGGAGCTTTGAAGCTCACCTTTCATCCTCTAGAAAGAGAAGAGGGACTGGAAATTGAGGTAATAATCAATCATGCCTACATGCAAAGCCTCTGTAAAAATCCCTGAACTGTAGGGTTTCAGAGAGCTTTGGAGTTTAAAAACATATCCATGTGCCAGGAGAGTGGCACACTCAAACTCCTTGTAATTAGAAACTCCTGCACCTGGGATCCTTTCAGACTTCACCTATTTCTCTCTTCATCTAGCTGTTCATCTTTATCTTTTATTATAGCCTTTATTAATACACCAGTGAATGTAAGTAAAATGTTTTCCTGAGTTCTAGGAACTGCTCTAGCAAATTATCCCAAGGAAGGGCTCATGGGAACCCCAATTTATAGCAGGTAGGTCAGAAGCACAGGTCACAATGTGGGACTTGCAAATGGCATCTTCAGTGGAGGACAATCTTATGGGGATGAGCCCTTAACATGTGGGATCTGTTGCTATCTCCAGGTAGATAGTGTCAGAACTGAATTGAAAAGAGGACACCCCACTAATGTCTGCTGGGGAATTGCTTGGTCAGTGTTGGGGAAAAACACACACATTTTGGTGATCAGAGGTGAATGAAGTATTCTGTATTGAGTAAGAGTAGGAAAAACACTTTGAGTTTCTTCCCTCTCTACTTTCCTATCCTCTATTTGTTCGGTTTAAATAATTCATCCTCCCCAAACTTCCACCCAAACCTCCTATAAAACCCACCCTGCTCCCCTTCCTAGTGGTGTATCCAATTTCTGATGCACATAAGGTTTGACAGACCCCTAGAGAGAGAAAGGAATGGAATGGAATGGAATGGAATAAGGGAACTTACTTTTCTTATCCCTCCCGTTGTTTGAAAAGAATTTATTCACTCCCCCAAGAAAAATACCCTCTATAAAACCCAAGGCTCTCCTCTTTTCTCTCATGGAAGCCTTTGATGGCCTCCACCCCTCTGCAACTATATGCTCAAAATAAACAGGTGTAGCATTTTACTACACATGAGGCTTTGTGTGTCTCTCAGCTCTGGACTTAACATTATTTACCTACAGAAAATATTGAGATAAAAAGGACTACTGTGAAACAAAAACTAACCAAAACTGAGACCTCAAAATGTGGCAATAAAGATAAGATGAAATAATAGTATGAACCTTAATATAAATTGATAGATGAAGCCATAGATGTGGACACATATATCATGTGTCTGTATATATACATGTAGAATAAACTCTTAATGGATAAGTTTATACATTCTGTTATTGAGTGCTACTCAAAGAAGGTATACATTATAAGGATGATTCTAATAAGAACTACACCATTTCAGCTAAATTTAAGACAGGCAAGAATGCTGAGAGAAAAGAAGTTTGAGTTTTTCCAAAGGTCTTATTCTGTTGGAAGAAGAAAGGGGAGTTTTATTGTATTCTAAATAAACAGGAGAAAACAAGGAAAAGAGAATTAGAGCATCTGGTGAGTCAGATAGGCATCTGGGAGGAGCAATTGTTATTACAAACAAAAGTAAGATCATGTGATAGAGAAGAATAATAAACATTAATTCAATGGGAAAGAAATACAGTAAAACATTCAAATACTAGTTTAAAGTGGAGTGTTTTGAAACTAATATCAGCATAGATAAAGGAAGCCCAATCTGTAATTATAAACTTTTTTCCTAACCCCATCCCGTTTTTTAATATAAATTTTATAAAATGAAAAAAAGAAGGCCAAGATCTAAAATAATAACAAACTTGAAGAAAAATAGGTATCTCAATTTAAATTAAAAATGAAAGAGGTGAATTTCTAGTTTGATAAGTTTTATTTATAACAATTTTAGCATCCTTTTCAACAAATGAATGCATTTTAGTTAAAGGAAGAATTTATTCCACATTAAAACAGATGGGAAGTAGATATTTAAGGTATTTCAGGTGTTGAGTGAAAAGAAATAGATATGTTCTATAAAATATGTAAACCTGGAAGAATCAGATGCACAACAAATTGAGAGTCATGGGAATACAATATCTTACTTGAATAAATTAAAACAACACAAAGATGAAATCACCTTACCTTAAGGTTATATAATCAGAAACAAGTACATCTATATGGTAATATAGTGTGGAAATGTGGATCCTAATAATTGGCTTAAAAAGACAAAAAAAAATACAGCTGTATAGGAATATTAGAGTTACTAAAAAATAAATTGGAGTCACTCTTTGGCCTTTTTCACAGTGATCTGAAACCCGTTAACCTTCTCATAACTAATGGGATACTAAAGCCAATTGATTTGGAAAATGTAAACCATACGCAAACAACCAAATACAACAAATATTGTTGAAG